ATTCATTTGAAGTTAATATTAGAGGTGATATGAAAGGCTTTCAGAATATATATATTCAAAGTTGAGTGACGCGATGAAATTTCAATACATCGAAGAATCCAAACGAAGGCGTATCTTAGCTACTGAGGTGTTAATAGTTTTGTCTTAAAAACTGGCGAGAATTAAATATTTGAATAGCAAAGCGATCAAGTTGATACACTACCTGTATAACTGTTGATTTTGCATTTATCTATTTTAATCGTGTGGTAGAGGATCGATGAAGCATAATAGTAAATATACTGATATTGGCGAACGAACTTTTTGCTCAAAGCGGTTGGTATATGATGCGAATGAGTTATGTAAGTTTTAACTAGAGTAATTATCTTTGTTTTCAGCTACGAGTTTTTATTTCATGAAAGGATTAAGAAGGTACCAAAAAACGCAAATACAAGTAATTGTATAAAAAAACTAAAAAACAAGCTAGTTTCACCACAAAAACAACGCTGAGTTTGTTCAACAAAATAAAACTTGGTATAATATAATACTGTGGAACAGCCTTTTTAGAATGTTGTCTGCTGATCTTTTGATCAATCCAAATAAATTGTATTTCGGCAAATGAATCTAATCAAATGATTCATTTAAGATATCCAATCAAGAAGAATATTTTGCACTCCTTTTTCGGGGATTTGCCGGGGATGTCTAAAATAACAGTATAAGTTATTCGCGTATGCTGAGACATATTTGAGTAGGTAAATCTTACTTGTATGAAGAAGTTGGTATTTGAATCGTCATCGTTCATATCCGTCACTGCTGTAATATTGCATCGATGATTGTTTTCGCTCGGAGTCATTTTCAAACTACATCAACAGAAATAAGAAAGACTAGTGGACATACTGCAGAAATAAACTATCTACTTCTGCTGAAAGTGATACATCTTGTGTAAACTAATCGTGATCTGTGGTATGATTGAACAAATATCAGGACTACGCGCTTTGTACAAAATAAGTATGGAGAACGTGTGGGGCTTCTCTTAAAAAATCCTATCGCTGCGTCTGCTTATATCTTACGTTTGAGTAAATTTATAAGAAAATTTAGGAACGAGAGATAAACATTTCGAAAAGACACAACGCATACCAGGAGAATAGGTTCAACTGCACTGAAAGCTATTTCTGTGACAATCATCTCTGTATGCTGTAATAATTTTCGTTCAGACAAATCTTGGAGTTATCTTCTGATTTAACGATGTTGAAGAGCATGTCTTGTTACGCTAGCGATTCGTTTTCAGACAAATGGAACAATTTACTTTATTGGAGAGTTGTAATTTTGTCCAAGAACAAATAAATGATGGTATTAGACATGTTATTTCAATTGTACGAAGAAAACGGTATCTAAGAGCCCGCTGGATATCATTAACCACTCAAATCCTTCTTATTCTTCGACGAAAATTAGCTCCTCGCACTTGGATTAAGATAAAAAATGATGCATTTTGGACTTCAGTTGTTTCTGGAATGTCAGCAAAAGAGTTCAAAGATAATTTCAGATTCAACCAAACAACATTCTATCATATTCTTCGAGCCGTTGAGCCATTTTTAAACCGTCAGGATACAATAATGCGTAAAGCTGTACTCATCGAAAAACGTGTTGTCGTAGCTTTGTATACATTATCTTCCACAGCGAAATTTCGAACAATAGCGAACTTATTTGGGATTGACAAATCAACGGTTCTAGAACTGTTGTACGATTTCGTTAACGTCATAAATGATGTTATTCTGCCACAGGCTATACAATATCCGACGTCACTAACCGAAACAACAGAAATGATTAATGGATTTTGGCAAAATTGGAACTATCCACAATGTATTGGAGTAGTAGACGGTTGCCATATTCCTATATATCCCCCAAGTGAATACGCCAGCGATTATTACAATTATAAGGGTTGGAGCTCAATTATTTTGTTGGTGAGTAATTTGTTTATCACATTGTCATTTGCCTCGTCGGAAGTATTTTATCTGGAACGTTTACTGACTATGTTTAGTTCAGTTTGACATATCATTCTCAGATTATCGATATCGTTATTTTTATAGATTTTAGTGTGTGGTGGATGCGTCGTACAAGTTTAGATACATTAGCGCTGGCTCACCAACAAAAACGAATGATTCATTTATATGGAAAACCAGTACACTCTTGAAAAGCATTTCCACATACAACTTGCTAAATGGTCAGCGGAAAACACTGTCTGGATTTTCCGTCCATTCTCATTTTATTGGAGATAGTGCTTTTGAGTTAACATCTTTAATGATGATACCATATCCAGAAGTTTTGGAAATGACTGAAAAAGTACATATGTTGTTTTATCACATGTATCTTACGAGAGAAGTACCCAAGTTGCGAAGCCGTTTTTTCAATGAGACTAGGGGGGCTTTATGTAATTGATGGCGCTGATTCCAAATAAGATCATCGAAATTGCCCTTGGGCTTTCGCTAACCTGTTTTCTGAAACTGGGTGGTCAGAAAACCATAAATCAAATTTAGAAAATTTTTCTGAATCAGCCATTTTGTAGAGGACACAAAACTGTCTATATTAGATAAGTTTTAATTTTTCAAAATACCATTCAACGGTGCTATAATTTTTGCAAAGTATCCTACTGCAACATTTTTACATTAAAGCAGGGTGGCCACTCTTTTGGGAAATTTTCCTACGCTGTTGATTTTTGCTTTGAAAAATTAAAACTTATGGAATATAGACAGTTTTGTGTCCTCTACAAAATGGCTAATTCAGAAAAAAATTTTGAATTTAATTCATGGTTTTCTGAAGATCCAGTTTTCAGAAAACAGGTCAACGAAAGCCCTAGGGCAATTTTGATGTTCTTATTCGAAATCAGCGCCATCAGTTACATAAAGCCCACCCAGTCTCATTGAAAAAACGATTTGCAACTTGGTGGACTTCCCCGCTAAAGTAAAAAATCCTTGACGTAGAATGTTTGTTTTGTAACACGTTTATGTAAATATTTTAGCAGAAAACATTTAATTGTCGATTGTCCCATGCAAGACGAGTTACAGAGATCTTGCTCTTGCTTCGTAGTCTCGTGTAAGGACTCGAAACCGCTCTGACTTAACATTATTTCAGAATTCGAAGTCGAGAACACGACAGAAATAGTAAAGACGTGCTGTGCGTTACACAATTTATGCATTAATTTGTCAGATCCGATTGATCGGACATGGGTGAGTGTTGCGTTAATTCTGAAAATTTGTGATGTAAACCTCAATGTTTCACGTAACTGCAATGAACCCACATCAGTCACAAGCATGTAGTTCTCGACCCACTAATGATGCATGCGTTATTCGGGACAATCTCGCACAGTTTTTCGTGGATCATCCATTATAACTTAGTTGTTTTTGATGATAGAACGATTAACGTGTGATCCGTTGTATTTTTCCTGTTCGCTTAAGATATTTTTGTACATGCGCTTTTTTTCTTGCTGGGTCACTATTGATTTAAAAATTCGTTTTATATCTATGTTTTTGTAGTAGTATTCTCTGTTATTACACTGATGATTCTATAAAAATGGTAAAAATGCGTAGTAAACAGTATATTAACCTAAATAATCATAAATTAGAAAATAAATTGTTCAATGAACCTCTTAGTTAAAAAAAATAGTTGTCGTTTTTGGCATAATTACTGCGGCGCATATACTGTTTACACATCAGTAATTTAAAGTATAAATAGCCAGGTAGTTTTACTATTTATTTATTTCAGATATTCTGGAAAATTGCATTAATGGCTCATTCATTCATTTCCGCTAAGCCATACACAATAGAAGGCTTGGTCATTTCATACTATTTTCTACTATACTTACGTAAAAATTAGTTTTTTAGACTTGAAAAACGATATAGATGCTACTTCTACTAAAAGCTTCATATACTCACTTCATACTCACAATAGGATACCTACTCATGTTTCACCCAGGTAATCGATCGTAATAAGGCGTTCTTTAATAATTTATAGTTATCTTCTATCTTAGACCGATAAAACATGAAAGACACTCATCATCATCATCATCATCATCGGTCGGCTGCGAACAATCGAGGTTTGCAGGCGACAACAATCTTAGACCAATTCTCTCTATTCGCGGCAGCCTTTCTAATCTCGTCGACCGATGGTGGTGTATCGTTGTTAATTAGCCTCGCAATGTAATCGGGATACATTAGACGGGAGCTGCCCCGCTTG